GCGATCAATATATCATTAAAATATTCAACGTTTTTTCTATGAAATAAAAGAGTGGGGACAGTTCAAGTTTTATATATTTTGACCATGTTAACTGTTGTACTGTACTAAACTCTGGTGAAGGCTGACTGATAAAATTGGGCACTAAGTAACTTCGTAAACTGTGCCAGAAAACCATGTCATAGTCTACGAGTGAAGCTAATAGGTCAATAAACAGGCCCTAAACACACCCCGGGCAGCTCCAGTTCTGGAAAGACAGAGATGGCTGCTGTCAACTTGTGCCATATTTCATTAATGGATGGCTGAAAAAAGTGACGCACTATTTGTTGATCGCATGGTAGCTACATTCAGGTAGACTGTGTGCCTATACAAATCAGCCTACCTATCACCTGGTAGTACGATTCAAGTCCCGTAACCCCACCCCTGCTTTTAGTCCCTGGATTACCTTGTGTCTAGAAAAGACAATTGTGGTGAAGTGGATTCACTCGACACTTGCTGAGTCGGGTTTTACACAGCAGTATTCTCTAAAACTAGGCAAGCAAGTGGTAGAAGTTGTCAACAGATAGCTACAACCACCCCCTCTCTTGGCCAAAACAAGCACATCGTGCAACAGTTAAAAACAGGGACATTTCCAGGGACACCTCTAGCCGGGGGCATGCCACCGAAAACAGGGACGTCTGGTCACCCTAGGGAACACACCTATGTAACACTGCTGCCAGTTACTGGTGCCCATAGAGACATTTGGCTGACTGTTAAAGTAGAAATAGAAGTTAGAAAGGAGACATAACAACGTAAAGTGAGGATGAGGAAGAAAACGCATTCTTCTTTACATTTATCTTGTGAAAATCTTCCCCTCTGTCCCTTTGTTTGGTTCCAGCAAATAAGACATCTCCAAAACCCATTAGGAATGATTACTAGTACTTAGTATCTTCCTAAAATGGTACCAGTTTTCCATCTGTTGTCACAAATAGAATGACATTCCTTAGGGCGTACCACAGGGATCCGTTCTTGGCCCCTTCTACTTTGTCTACGGATCAAATGATTAACACATCTGACTCATTCTACTTACGTTTTATTACTGCTATAGTTGCTATTACAGTTTTACTTATTATATTCCATAAGTTCACCATCAGTCACTAACTGATAATATGATTCGGCATCTTTCTCCTCAAAAACATTGCTGTTTTTACTGTACTCAACTACCCACCACCAAGCCTACCTTTTACCTTCCAAGCTCACAGCCCCCTTCTAGACAAACATTCCAAGCATATCATCTTTTCTTTCTCCCCTCCGAGCCCATTCCAGTGTCTGTGGTCATTCTGGGAGAGAAAGACCCCAACCAAAACCAGCATACCGGCCCCCTCCCAGACAATGGGACAATATTGGCTCTGTCTGCCAACTGTACAGTTTATCCACACTGTCTACAGACGTCAAGCAAGCACAGACATAAAAACACTGTAAAGGCTTGAGACAAATGAGTGAAGAGAGGACCAAGAATGGAGGGGGGGGTATGGGGGTCGAATGAAACAAGGCAGTTGCTTAGTGGTCACCATGTGGTATTTATAGATTTGTGTAAGTGCACACTGACCATGCTAACAGCACACAGCTGTGTATCAGACTTGACACTTGATAATGTAATGTCTTATACATACTGTCCTACTTGCTTCCTGTACATTCACCATCATGCAGATTTAGTAAGCTTGAATTGTAGGTAGAAAAAATGAGCGCTAATACATAAAAGCAGAGAGACATTCATGTGGCAGGGCCCATAGGAAGTCTCTGGGGAGCTATAGCATGAGGTAAATGTTTAGACTACAGCCAGAGGCCATGCTTTCTTCTCACCTTTTTAGCCCTCAGCCACAGACCTACACGCCCAGGACTTTGCAGCCATGAACCCATAGGCAGACGTCAGGCTGTCCTCTTTATACTCTCACTAAATGGTTTTACAAAATTAAACAAAAGTGTTGAGATGTAAATCATTCAGAGCAGTTTGCTGTGAAATGTTATGTTGTAGAGGAACTCACAAAGACAGAACGGTTCACAGTGGTGGTGATGATAGGAACCAGACGTCCACCTCTAAGAGCTCCCTCACAGAAAGTTATATGAAATGGTTATGAATACACCGCCATGGTGCATAACAGAGCAAGGTGTTCTGTGCCAAAATAGTCCCCAAAGACATTTTTTTCAGATTTTCTACTATTTCCCCCATCAACATTCCATATAAACTCAGAAGACTCGCGTAGGTTAACTGGTGCTTTGGGTAGTAAATAAATTGGCTATATTGGTGTTGTAATCATGGCAACCCCTGGTTTCTATCACCGCAGAATCTCTACAATCAACCATTTCACACCAAGCATGTTATTTCCCTTTAAATGTTTCTAAAAGATCCCTCAGCTATTACATAAAGCATGTAAGAATATGTTGCCTGAGATGTTATAAAAATGTATTGTAGCATCAGCAGAGAGTAACACACAGGGGAGGCCTTGATTCTGCTGGAAGAAGTGCTCTTTTATTGAACAGCAGCAGAAAGGCACATAACACACTGAACTTGTAGGTCACCTCTAGCTACACACTTCTCCATGACAGTGACCAACTGCCAACACAAAACACCCACACAATAACCCCACTCCCCAACACAGATTGACACATTAACACAAACACGTACCTTTAACAGAACCCATAAATAAACATGAAACTGTCTCTTTTCATGAGAGCGGGAAGCCTATCAGAGCCAGCACCAGCTGGTAGCGGGTCGCTATGGTACATTAGGGGTACAAGATTCTGTTATGAACTATGTAAAAAGGACAAAAACCATGTAAAGAAATGTACATTTTATGTATCTCATGCTGCACTATTGTTCTCTATGCCTCTAGGTGGTGCTACCTTACAGCAGTTACATCAAACTGAAACACTGTTAAAATCAGCCCAGACGAAGGTTGTATAATTAAAAGCAACCAGTCTAGCAATGAAGCTGGTGCAAAGGACAAGACCGAAAACATCTAAAGCTTCTAATTTTTTTTAAGAAGTGCCAAGAGGCATTTTTAATCACCTTAAAAATAGACAAGATAAACAATAAATATGGTCCCATCGTGGGATCGTGGTCCCAAGCAGCCCCTGGGACGCAAGTGTGTTTGGAGACCCCCCCTTACCCCACACCATGACATTCACCCCAAAAACAAAACAAAAAAAAAAAAAACAAAAAAAAACAGAAAAAACACCAAATTAGCAAATTAACTAAAAGATGGCCCATATCATGGAAAATGGAATGATGCAATATGTAAACACAAAAGTTTCAATACTTCCCATTTATTTTCATCCATATATGGAAACTAACAGTGACAAAAAACCAATGCATTTGCATATATCCACCTCTTCAGTCTACAGCAGTTTAGCCCCACCCACTCACTGAAACTCATAAGGGGTATTTCAAACCGTTGAATGAGGAACAACACAGGGCAGCCAATCAGAACAGAGCTCATTTACATATATCAGTCAAAGGCATAGTAACGAAAACAGCCTGTTTAATTGTAAGGGACAAAGAAAAGCTAGAAAATGCTCATGTAGAAATTGACAGTTTTTGGTACATAATGCCACACAGACATCAAAAGCGGACCTCAAGGAAAAAGGTTAAAAGAAATATTGAAATGGGCCTTTTAATAAACCACTCAGGTTTATGTGCGCTTTGAACGGCACTGGGAGAACAGGGTGGGCGTGGGATGAAGAGTAACAAGGATGAAATCTCAGGCAATGAGAAAAAGCCTATTACTTCCTATTATAGGAAAGCCTATTATATATTTCCTACTGTTAGATTTCTGCACTTTCTAGGTGTTATGAGGCTTTTCATATTACTACAGTGGCAGGAAATGGGCATTTATTTAGTCCTTACATTGAGGGGCTATTTGTTCACCTAATTTTTGCATCTGCAGTGGCTGCAAGTGGATACTTTAATCCACTGGTCTGAGGCCCAGTGAGGGCCCTGGGCACCAGCCTGGTCAATACGTCATCCCTGGCACTACATATTTATTGAAGTATCTGGCAGCCTAGCAAGGGTGAGTCACTTTTAATGATGAGACATTTGATTTAATGTGCACCCATGACTCAAAGATATGGGAAGAGAATGAGTTGCAGTTCTCACTACACAATCATGTCTTCAGGTTTTTCCCCCCCAAACACTAGAGGGCACTCCCTGAGCGAGTCCAAAGCGAATGGGCTTCTGTGGAGCTTTTGTGCATTCATTTGATAAATACTGAAATCATTTTAACATAATCCAATAATATGAACAGTAATATTTCAACACTGCTTCTGAACCCCTGTTATAGGACTTACCACAAAAAGTGATACAGCATAGGACAATGGGACAGTGGGTTTAGACAGCTAGAGTTGCTAGAATCAAGATCTAGCCTGTGCATAACAATTACTGTTGGATTCAATGAACTAAGGCTAGGGGTACATTTTTATAATTGCATTTATTCATTTTTTTTGGTTTTGCAAATGCTATACAACAGTGCCAGAATTAAATATCATGAATCAAGTGCTTAAATAAAGATACAATAAATAAAAGTTAGCATACAGTGCTGTAAATTTGCATTACAAAAATACAGATATTGAAATTCTCTTCCAATAAAGAAATCAACTTCTCTTAATGACATTGTAGATATGCATATTTCATGAAAAAACCCAAATACAGTGAAAATCAATCCCAATATTCTCCACCCTCAGGTCTGAATCCAGCATGACTTAGTCTATGAACAACGCGAGTGGGAGTTTTATCCACCACTATGTATGGCCAGATTGCTAGTTAAGCAAAAGCGTAGCTGATCAAGTAGCACCATTTGGTAGTGGCTATAAACACTGCCAACAAGTCTAACCCTAATATAAGCAGATGTTAGATTGTGCTTAGAGTGTGGTGGGATTTTGTACAAATGAATTGGACTGATCAATAAAACTAAAAAAGATATACAAAACAAAAGGGGGGGGAAAGAGAAACTGAGGGGACAGTACCCTCATGAGCCTACAGCCAGATAGCCTGCAGAAGACCTGTAGGAGAGAGTAAAAAAGCAAGTAAGGGTGACTAAAATTCACAAACACAAAAGAACTTAATTAATAACCATCACATTTACCCAATGAGGGAGAAACTGGACATACCTGGACCCAACACAGTCTCAACATGACCAACATCAACTTACTCCATGTTGTTCTTCAGTTGCTGGACAGTGCGTTTGTCCAAGTACCGGCAAAACAGCGTGAGCAGGTTGGAAGGCAGGAAGAGAGGCTCCACCAGGGATGTCCGGGAGAGCTGACGAGCGACATGGAAAACTGTGTCCGTCCTTGTAGGGAGGCATGGCAAAGAGAGAGATCAGAGAAATTAAAGCAACAATTTGGCCAAAAACTTCAAAATTGAAGTTGTGTATATGTACATGACTGTGCAAAAGTCAGAGACCCTTCATTTGTTTAATCTCCAGTCAAAACAGGCATTAGGTATAAGCTATTGGTTTTTTAAGCACAGGACAAAAAAAATTAACAGAAAATTACAGAATCCCCAAAAACTGAAGATTCCACATTTCCAGTATTTACTTTGTCCACACTTTGCTGTCATTACAGCTGCAGGGATTTTCCCCACACCCCCAAAAGTTCTGTCACAATGCAAGTAATCAAACACATTCAGCTGTGTTGAGGTCTGGACTCTGGGGTGGTCAGTCCATTGTTCAGCTTCTTTGTTTGATGCGTCCGTCTCCTTTTCTCAGTGAGGTTCTTCTTGACAGCTACACATCCTTTCAGACCCACAGCACTGAGTCATCTTCTCACAGTGGAAGGATGGACAGAAACACCTGTGGATGTTTTCAGATCTGAAGCAGCTTGATTTTCTCCTCTCTCAGAGATGAAAGCTTTAAGCTTTAAGTGCTGTTTATCTGATGGGGGACAGTTTTGATGTCGACCAGGTCTTGCATGGTTGTTAAGAGTCCCATTTTCTCCAGATCTTTAGAATTTCTTTTAAACTCCAATTTTTCGTTCCAACTTATTTTCTGTTGATTTTGCCCCTCCCTTCATCTGATCTATATTCACAAGTTTAATCTCCTCAAACTTAAATATCTCCTGAAAACTGAACAACGTGTATCCGATGGCCATTTTGACTAAAATAAACGAGGGATGGTCTCCGACCTTTGCACGGTACTATATTTTTTTGGGCAAACTAAGGTTCATCATAAAGTACATCTGGGCTACTGAATAATTGTCACAAATCAGCTATGAAACTAACGTTACCAAAAGGTAACCAGTTTCACTGTTTAATTGCCCATTTAGCTCTATGGAAACACAAAGCAGTACCAGGTCTCGAAGTCGCCGATGCTGGGCTCCATGGGAACGTCTGAAGTCAGGAGCCTTTCCCCTTGCGATAGCAATGCATATAGCAAAGACAGACCAAACTACAGAACAGAAGAGAGGCATTTTGTTGTTTACATACTTATGGCCACGTACAGCATCAAGGGTTTCCCCAGATCCACACTAAGCCCAAGTCCAGTTCTGGTGATGGAGTCCCCCAGTGCATATTTTCGCATTTCCCTCCTTTAACCTACTTAATACAACTAAACCAGCTCCAACTGACTCAAGCCCTTCGTGTGTTAGTGCAGGAAAAACACTAAACCAAGGGAGTCCAGGAAATCCAGTTCTGGAGGGCCACTGTCTAGCATAGTTTGGCCTGCTCTGAAACATCTGATTCAACTCCTCTGTTGATTGCCAGGTTCAGTAGGTGCTAGAGTAAGGGGGCCCAAACCTGGTCCTGGAGATCTACCACCATGGAGAGCTCAGATGCCCATAAAACGCAGTCATTACCCAATTCAGGGGTGATGGATTGAGAAACTGAAGCTAAACTCTGCAGGGTTGTAGATCTCCAGAACCAGGGTTGGGCACCCCTAGAGCAGAGGAATTGCCAGTGCTGGACACCTCTGGGCTTGAGGGTTGGTAAACACCCCTGCACATTGGGTTCTCGAGGACCATGACTGGGAACCACGGACCTACACTAATAAGAAACAATCACAATAGGCAAGCCAGGCCAAAAAGAGGGATGTCATGCCAGACCTTGTTTTGGCAAGCCAATGTCAGGCGCGAGTCTTTGGAGTCGGGCAAGGAAGAGGTAAATTCTTGGAGAACAGCAACCAGCTGGGTGAAGGTGAGCGTGCTGATCATGGTACGGAGAGGTGGGTACAGAACAGGAAGTGCCTGCAAGGGGATACATTCCGTATTCAAGGTAATCACAATAGAATTATCGTTATCCCAAAAGGTAGTCAAGTGCCAAATTTGGTGTCCAAGTTTTTTTGTTTTGTAAAACTATGTTGCCTGCTAAACAGTAGTAGCAACCATCTTGAAACCTGAATTTCATAGGTACTTTTATCCATTTTTGCATAATGGTCAGAGTCAGAACCCACATAAGTAAGTCTGAGATACATGCATACAATTTGCACAATGCTAATTAGTAGTTAATTAACTTCCATTACATGTTAGCAAAAGCTTTGCTGATTTCAACTTTTCCCAAATTTTGTGAAACTGCAAATTTTGTTTTTGCCAAAATATTCTTTAAAAGGACCATACCTCATCCACATCTCTGCTCATTAGTGCTGGTAAGTGTGTCGTGATCACTGTCAGGATGTGTCTGGCTGCATCCTGCGACAGGAAGGGCAGGAGTCTGGCCAGTAGCCTCTTTCCTTTTGAAACTAGGAGACACTGCAGAAACTCTTCCATGGATTCTCTGAGGAGATCACAAGCAATACGAGGAGAAAACATGAAAATGGGAACATAACCTAGAAGAACTCAGGGAAGGGGAAAGGTGCATTACAGCAAGCTGGAGCTGTGTAGCCGACTACTGATTTCGTCCACCCCCCTCTGCACAGTCTTCATAAGTCTTCTCCTCTCTTCCTCATCGGATACAGTCTCTTTCGTTCTTTCTGCTTCTTCCACCCCCAACAAAATGATGAAACACTGCAGAACAAGCACAAACAAGATAGATAGTAGAAGACGACTACTGCTTACCCTTAAAAGTTAAGCTCAAGTGCATAACAAGATCTACAGTGGGGTGGAAATCTTTAGCTGCTAGCATACATGCTAATAATGTTAGCATTAACAACCAAGCTAGCTAACATTACTTTGGCAAACTCTTCAAAGAGTGAACATTCCGGTATGCTTAGCAGTCACATGACAGTGCCTCATGACTTTATCATCACCTGGAAGAATAAAGAATTAAAATGTTTTAGCACTTCTGTAATTGTCAGCAACCCTGACAGAGAAAAAGGCCAACTACCTTCTCGATGGTGTTCAGTACCTCCAACCTCTGCTGCCTGGTGTCTTTCTGCTCCTGGTTTAACGAAAATCAGAAATAAAAATGCAGTAAAACAAATAAGAGCATTCCTGGAGAGATCTTTTAATGAAGCTGCCCTCACTTCAGGGGTGTGGACATGGACAGCATCTATGGCTCTGCGCGGGGAGTAACATGTGGACACAGCGACTTGGCCAAGCGAACCCTCGATGTGGACCACTGGAACACCACAAACATTACTTGGGTCCAGAACAGTGAATTATGCATCTCAAAAGAGATTGTGAAAGCAGACCTGGAGTATAGGATACAGTTTTGGTGACGTATGGTGTGGTGAGTTTGGGCGGCTCCCTCTTTGAGCGGTCGCCCAGCAGTTCTTCTTCAGCCAGTTTAGCCTCCATTCTCCGATAGTACTCCTGTAGAGAAATGCACCCTCACTAAGCTTCAACACAATGAGGAGGTATTTTAGAACCATCCAAGTCATAGGCCTGGGTGACGATACTTAATTTTTGATAAAATGATTGGCATTCTGTTCCTTAACTCATATTAGCAGCCAAGGGTTACACTTTGAGTACAGTAGGTGGCACTGTGCAAAAGAAGAAGTCTAGCCATTCACTCAACAGCACAAACCAGCAGGATAGTTAAGACAACAGTGAAGGGGTGCAACGCAGTACCTGGTAATAGTAGTCGTCCTGATATGGGTTTTCGCTCTGTAGCTGCATCATTTGCAGTTTGATGATCCACTCCTTCTCTTTAGCTGACATTAGCTCAGCATAGTGTTCCCAGTTCTTTGACTTTCTGAAAAATGACAGCTGCAGTAATTTCAGAGGTGTCCAGCTCAACAAGAACCATGTACCTTTCCCCAAACAGAAGCCTACCTCCGAGAGCCAAGGGGGCGCTGGTTCAGCAGCCGTTTGTGCTGTGGGTGGAATTGTGTTGCCAGCACAGGGAGCCTAAAAGCCAAAAAGGTTACCATCAACCTGACCAGGATCTGAAAGGATTTAAGGAAAAAATGTATACAGTTTGACTTGGAGCTGCAAGCCAGTCCAATAGGGCAGCTCACCGGAATCGCTGAATGGGAGCTGAGAAAGGGCTATAGCAAGGGCTGGGCCTTGGGGAGTTGGGTCCAAACCTCACTTGCATCATTTTGGGTGTGAGTGCCTGGGGGGCGTGGAAGCGAGGAGGAGTGGGGGAAAGGAAAACTGACTGGGGTTGGTTGGAGGAGAGAAAAAAAAATTAAGAGGCATTCATCCATCACAGTAAAGTCCACATACCTCTATATGTGTGTGAGCAATTGCACATTGTAGCCCTTTAGTCAACATGCATAATCTCTACTCCAGCTGTTCTCTATGACCCCACCTATTCATCACTGGTCAAATTCAGACGACAGGACTGCTGCTAACAAGATATTTAGGTGGTGGACTACAACACAGTGGTGACATCGACATGGTAGTGTATCTAATGTGGCTGGGGTTTTAACATGCATTCGTGTCACTCTTAGACTGAGTGGTCCATCTCCCAAAAATTGTAGTCAGAAACTGATAACCTAAGCTCTAGAGCATGACCTAACATTGCCAAACAAATGGGCTACAGTATTGGTGGAGTTAGAGTAGACATTTCTCAATCACCTGATTGTAACGTTGCTTCATAGAGAAGGGACTTTGAGGGTGCAACGGGCTACTAGGCACCACAGGACACAGTGGTACCTGCTGGGTAAAATAAATAAAAAGTGAACCATCTGCAACTTCGATATATGGCCTACCCAAAACCAAAATCCAACCTAAAAGACAAAAAGGCCCTAACAAAGCTTGATTTAGTTAACTAAGTTTAATAGTTAGATTGCAGACAAATGGTTCTGCAAGTAAACAATAGATTAATATATAATAATTACAAGATAAGTGTTCAAGATTAAGAAAAGCAAATGAGAGAGAGGGAGACATTACCCAAGATATCACCTCAAGAAGCAAATCACCAAGAGAGAGTAATCAAGAGATTTCATCGTGTAAAATTCAGGGAGAAGCTTATTCCATCAGCAGCAAGACCTTAGCTCACGAGCATGCCTCAGTTTCAGGGAAAGACATGCTGAAGCCTACAAGTTGAAGAATAAGGCTGGTGTATGGGTGAGCACTTCCACACCAATGGGTAGGGAGCTCTGCAGGACCTTAGCAAGACCTGGTCATAGATTAAACTGGTCATGTACAGATGGTGAGAGTCAAAGGAAATAAAGGTCCACTGTTGGGGGGGCAGTTTGCAGGTGGGCAGTTCAGTATTACACAGCCAAGATTCAGTTTCATCCACCCATATGATCAGCATAGCAGGGACAATAGAAACCATGTGAGTTACTGATCCCACTGATTGTGTACAAGCAGAACAGAAGTGGACAAAGAGGTGAACCCTGAGGGACCCCACTAGCAAGGTGGCGGATTGCAGAGAGGGAGCCTTTTCTGTGCTACCTGGTAGTGTTAAAAAAAGGATGGGGTGGCTAAGTGTCAGTAACAGCTGACTGGTCAGGAGGTCTGAGGACACAGTTCACCCTAACTGTGTGGAGAGCTTCTGTGACTAACAGAAGGCTGGTTTCAGCATGCCCACACTTGTATTTGCAACAGCGATGTCTAGAGGCAGTTTTGAAAACGTAAAAATTGATGGGAGAGATGAAAGCACTTTGGCAGAAGTGGAGGAGCAAAGTGTTAAGACTCCTCCTGTAAGTAACTGACGCAGAGGGAGGAGTAGGAGAGGAGCAAAAGACTGGAAAAAGAAAGTTCTTATCCATGACGTGGCGTTCCTGCGAGACCACATGTTGCATAAATTCTTTGTGAAATACAAATACAAAGCAGCAGAAATACTACCATAAACAAAAGCAACACTACCTTATGGAGCCTCCTCTGGCCCACTGGATGAAGGGGAGATCTCAGGTTAGGGGAACCATATGGCATTCTACCCCGTGTTGACTTGTCAATCACTCCCACGATTGCTTGGTCCTGTCAGGAATAGAAATATGTCACCAGCCAAAACAGACAAGATTCAGGCATCAAGATAGCGGCTAATACTGTGAAGCTATGTCTATTTTAAGGTTAATGCATCAGTGTAGAACTACATGGTACATTAGCCTCATTTAGCTCCAACACAAAACTGAAGAAGCAAACTTTAGACATTACATACAATCCCGTTTTCAAAAAAGTTGTGATGCTGTACAGAACGTAAAAGCTGAATGCAATAATGTGCAAATCATCTAATAGTACTGAACTTGCATTACAGGTGTCCTGTGGTAAATATAGGGTTTACGTTATTTATACATCATTACATTAATTATATTTTTATTTACATTTTGCACAGCATCCCAACTTTTTTTGAGAGAGCTGTAGAATGTGTTTGGCTGTAAGTAGTCACACCTGCAGGATGGATGCCGGCGTGCGTCTGGGTGAACTGTATGATGCCATCATCCACTGTGGGGAGTATAAACAGGTCATTTATGTTTTCAGCAATGAAATTCTCATATGTCAGAAGTCTTTAGGATTCCCAGCTCCAGCCCTCCATTCTGGAGGGTTACAGTATGCCCATGGGTTAAAATGGAATTGACAAAGTACTGTTCAGGATTATGATTTAGGAAATGATAGAATTTAAAAAGATTTGGATTGATTTTCTACTTTTGAGTAGCCAAACTGAACTAAAAGTACTGAACTCTCATTACAGATGTCCTGTGGTAAAATTACACGACCCAACCACCCCATGGAAAACTAATCTTGTCCAAATGGTAGTCAACTAGCTGACCACCAAGCCACAGGTTAGTCTACAAATGCACATTCCAAGCCAAACTGCTAGCTTCACGTGCAGCCAATCCCGTACATTAATAAGTCAAACACATCAGTAAAATTTCAGTTAGGTGAACTTCAAGTAGATTGTCAACATAACCAGTGCTTAATTTTTCCTTACAATGCTGTAATTGAATGTTTAATGCTAAATGTGCTTAAATGCTACATATAAAACGAGAAACCCTGATGACGATGGATGGACCGAATGCTAAACTGTCGTTAAAGCATTGCTAACTCTCCAATAAAACATCCCAGACAAAGAAGCAACTCACTGTATTTGCATTCAGATCACCCCAGTAGGAGCTTCGGCCACAGTCCACAATAGCACTGTCCAAACTCTGAAAGGACCACCGAGAATTGTGCGGTTATCATTATGCCAAAAATGAACTCCAATACCAAGTGTATAATCACAACTCAACACAACATGGTTGTCGCTTTTAATGAACATCTGTCAAAATTATTAAAGCTTTTCAAATGCTAAATGGGATCAAATTAAACACTGCTTCATTCAGCATGTTCTGAATTGAATGACCTGGAAATACAACATAACCCATTACCCACGTTTAATAAAAATACAAAATATTTACATCTTTTACTGATTTAAAAACCAGAAGTACTGACTGTACTGATTTACTGCATTATAGATGGGAAAATAATCATTAAACCTTCAGTACACTGTGCAACACCATTTACAATACACCCATCAAGGAAACGCTGGAAGGAAACACTGACTGGGGAGACAAACCTTCAGACTGGGTGGACCCTCCACTGTCCTCATCACGGCTGGGTCATCAAACAGTTGCCTCTGAGGTCTCTCCCTGCGACTCATGGCCTTAATGTGGACTACAGGAGCCTGAGGCTGGATTTGAGGTTTAGGCCTGGGAGGAGATGGCTCCCTCGGAGACGGTGGTGGTGAGGACGGTGGTGCCGGGGGCTGGTTGCCATCAACAAACAGAAGGTCTACAGGGTCTGCTTGTAGATCCTCAGCACTCAGGTCTGATAAAGACGCACATGTACACTGAAGTTAGTCATTGTGCCTTTTTTTAAAATTCAGCATTAGCCCACTGCAGAAGTTATTTGCCCAAACTGGTGATTACACGCTCCCCCGGACAAGTGAGTTGCTTCACTGGCCCGAACCACCTTAGACACTGGGGTCTATAGGCTCAGATAACCATGTCAGGTTATCTGAGCTTATAGATCCCAGTGTTTCAGAAGATTTGGGCCATCACTGAACAGGCTGGGAGGCCATCAGAGAATAAACACTTTGAAAACTCACATCTCAAAGTGCCAAACATTACTATAGTATGTTTCATTCTTTTCAGTCATCTTTTCTCAAGATAAGGTAAGAATTAGTGAGGTAGCAAATCTGTCCCAATTTAAATTAGTTAATCCAGGCCTAAAACTAGTATTTAATGTCTAATGTTTTGTAACGTTCTGCATTACATCCCTCCATCGTGTTTTAGCCCACCAACATTCTCACTACAATACCCAGCATGCATTACAGAATTACATCATACAACCACTGGGATGGTCACAAAGAAATCCTGACTGTTAGTATAACCACTGATGTTGAGACTAAAATTCAGCTGTGGTGTTTTGCTTGAGTGGTTGGTGAAAATTTTGAACAGCCCACCCTCAAATATCAACCCCAAGGTGCTTGTGGGGACCCAAAGGTCCTCCCACCTTCGAGATGCATCATCAGAAGGTGGTTTTCCCAGTCTTTAAACTGGAAGATCTCATGCTAGAGACTACTGCAGAACATTTACAACAGATGTCGCGATGATTAATGTCTCATCAGCCCTGAGTGCCCCTTTAAGAGATTCATATGGATAACCCAAACCTACAGGGTTAAAAAGGCAACCCAACCAGGAGTGGATTATAGCAGTGGAGAGCAGACTATGCTACTTAACCTAAACCGAAGGTTTCCTCGTTGTAGAGGTCAATCTCCTCATCCTCTTCCACCACGTCCTGAAGGAGGCCGGATTCCTCCATCTCTCCTCCGCCTTCTTCATCGCTCCACTGGCTGCCATTTTCAGGCCAGGCAGGATCAGGAGTGGAGTTCTCCTTTTCCTCCTAGAAAACAAAGAAACACCTCATAGCTGTGCTTAACTGTAAAATTTAGTATTTAAATAGGACTTAAACTTTGAGTTCATGTTCAGAATAGACCATCTGTGTACAAATATGTTTAACAAACGCTGGTGTTCTAATTGTGTGAGCTTGTTTAAATGTCCTGCCTTAGCGCATATTCATAGGCTAGGTCAGGGGTCAGCAACCCAAATGTTAAGGAGCCATTTTGTCCTTTCTACCAAAATCAAACGACCTTGAGAGCCACAACATTTTATGTCCATTTTACCATCTTGGCTGTAAATATGTCTCAGTATGTGCTAATATAGGCTAAAACAAATAAATGAAAATGCAGACTTTGCTCTGCTATAGCTGTTTTTCTCGCATCTCTGGCAGGAAGCTTTTCCTCAGAAGTAGAATAGTTTCTTGTGAAATGTCAACGTTCCACTCTTTACGAGGCTGAATTCAGCTTTTCGTCTGAAATTTTCCCGTTCCACCTTAAATGATGCCTGAGGCGCCAGAATGCAACTGCTGCACCATTTAAGGTGGAATGGGAAAATTCAAACAAGAAGCTGACAAACTTTAGTGTTTGTCAGTTTCTCATTACAGATTAAACGTATCAGGAAACCAGCTGGAGTGATTATAAATGCAAATAAGTCCATTCGTCTCCAAAATTAATCGCTGTTCATCTTAAATCTCTCTTTGGCGTTTCGTTAGCTACGCGAGACTTTGTCTGTGTTGCTATGGTGACCATCAGTCTGCGCTGATCTTTCGGGTTAAAGGGTGAATTAGCAGTTCTACATTAACTCCAGAGTTTAAGACCATTTATTGTTAAACTGTGTTATTTTACTGTGTTATTATTTTACTGTAAAGGAGGATTATTTTATTTTTACCTACAAATCTGATTCTGCTGCGGAGTCGCAACAGGACAGTAAAAGAGCGGCCTGGTGCCGACCCCTGGACTAGGTGATGTAACATAAAGCTACAGGTAGGATATTTTGATATTCTATATTACCTTATCAAAAACGCTCCCAGCCTCAAAACTACAGGTAGGATATTTTGAAAGCTCATATCTCCACATTAGAAAATGCTGCTAGCACTGATACGTATAGGTAAAGTTAGGATATTTTGATAGTCTCAGAAAACGTTACCAGCATTAAAAGAATAATAAAGAGATTTAGGCTATCAAAACACCCTAAATCAGTACTGAATTAACGTGAAAAACACAAGACATTTGAAACACCAAGTTACTACGCTATACTAATGAAATGCGCATGCTCGCTAGGACCGGTCACACCATCCAACTTTTGTAGTTTCAAACGTTTAGTCAATTCAACGCGACTAGAGCAGAAGCGTAGCCAAGAAACTACAATTCCCATGACGCATTGCGTGTTTAACCACCAGCAACCGTTGGAAGTTAATTTAAAAACCCGAATTATTTAATAATTGCTAATTCTTCAAAATGCTTTTTGATAGTAGTCACTAGATCATTACATAAAAACCAAAAAAAAAAAACCCAAAAAACCCATAAAAGCCGATAAAGTATAAAGAATCAATAACCTGGGCCGAACCTAAGTGACTCAGGTTTTGACCCCTGCGTTTCTCCGTTTTCACCCTCCAACATCAGCATCACTAACGGAACCCATGCTTACTTACGGGATGCTCGGAGTCGCTCATCTAGCCGGAATATTGTCTTTGGTTCGTGAAGTTGTGTCGCTGCCAGACTAACCGACCGCCAAACTTTTCCATAAGTCATGTGGTGACGCTCTTTAGCGTCTTTAAATGCCCCCACCTGGAGGGGCGGGTCTCAGGGTCTCACTCCGAGCAGGTTAGGTCCAAACTGCTCCTCACAGATATCAGACATCACCTGCTTTCCAGTCTGCAGGGTGTGAACGATGGGGTAAAAAGCCTGTAATATTAAAACATACATATCTTTAATGTATATAGACGTATATAGATGTATATCTTCGTTTTTTAGTGGGCGTGTCTCAAACCGACCTTGTTCCCTGTGTACTTAACTAAACAAGGGACTCAATCATTTTCAATGGTAACACGACAGAAATGAGGCAGTGGAACGTTTAAAGGGGAACCCCACCAATTTTTCAAAAGTTCGACATAATTAAATGGTTAAGATGTAAACACAGTCGTTCAGAGTGGTTTGGTGTGAAATGCTCAGTTTTTAGACAAACTTAATGAGTCAGAGTTGTTCACAGTGGTGGTGATAGGAACCAGACGTCCACCTCAATACACTGCCTAATGCCTGAAACATTGAAACACAATTTATGGCAGATGATACATTGTTGGCCCCCTTTTACCCTGTTCTTCAATGGTCAGGAACCCCACAGGACCACCACAGAGCAGGTACTATTTGGGTGGTGGGTCATTCTCAGCACTGCAGTAACACTGATGTGGTGGTGGTGGTGTTAGTGTGTGTTGTGCTGGTCTGAGTGGATCAGACACAGCAGTGCTGCTGGAGTTTTTAAACACCTCAGTGTCACTGCTGGACTGAGAACCAAAAACATCCAGCGTCCTGTGGGCAGCGTCCTGTGACCACTGATGAAGGACTAGAGGATGACCAACACAAACAGCAGCAGATGAGCTATCGTCTCTGACTTTACATCTACAAGGTGGACTGACAAGGTAGGAGTGTCTAATAGAGTGGACAGTGAGTGGACACAGTATTTAAAAACTCCAGCAGCACTGCTGTGTCTGATCCACTCGTACCAGCACAACACACACTAACACACCACCACCACGTCAGTGTCACTGCAGTGCTGAGATTTATAGCTGCTGTTCATACTTTTGACCACCAGGTGTCATGAATGTTCACTGGTTTTGAGCCATGAAGCCCTTTTCCATACAATTTATTAAACTGTTTTGAACCTCACTGAAATAAGGTCAGAAGAAATGGCTCGATGTTACAAACACTTCAGTCATGGCTGCTCTGCTGCCAGAGCGGTTAGAAACAGATGGTAGGCTGTAGTGAGACCTACTGGAGCAAAAGGGCTCAGAAATGGATCTAAATCATCTCCTTTTACGCTACCAACAAACCTACCAGGTGGAAACTCAGCCAGGCTACAACTCAGACCATCTGCTTTTATATATATTTACATCAAAGTACAGTTTCACAGGGGTAAAATACATCATTTGCACTGAATGAGGACATAAAGACTTACATTAAGCCTATAAATAAAAAAGTCTGTGGGCCAGAGAAAAAAAACGTTTTTCAGTTTTAATTAATGTTGTGCTATAGGGGTGCGGGAAAAAAATCGATTCTTAGATGCATCGCGATGCGGATGTGCACGATTCTGAATCGATTCATTCAACCTCAAAAATCTATTTTCTAAATATTTAATTTATAACGTAATGTTGACGGAACGCAAAGGGCGGAACTTGGAAGTTCGGAAGTGCGGCGCCCGGACAGTCTGTGGCGGCACACAACAAAAACACAACGGGATGAGCGAAAAATCCGACCAGCTCCCTCTGCATTAAAAGCCAGGTTAGGTCAGGAGTCACAACACAAATGATAAGAAGAGACATTTTGTCCTTTCAACAAAAATCAAACCACCTTGGGAGCCACAACATTTAATGTCCAGTATGTGTCAGTACGTGTTAATGTCCTAGTATAGACTAAACAATATAAACGAAAACGCGGACCTGCTCTACTCTGCTTTAAGCTTTAGCTATAGCCGCTTTTCTTCCATCTCCGCCAGAAAACTTTTCCTCAAAAGTTGAATAGTTTCTTGTAAAATGTCTTTCAGCTATCGGCTGTTTTACGAGGCTGAAGTCGCTTCTCATTCTCCAGCTTCTTGCTGAACTTTCCCGTTCCACCTTAAATTCTGACTGAGGCGCCGAAGGTAAATGCGGCACCATTTAAGGTGGAACGGGAAAATTAGAAAGAGAAGCGAGTTCATCTTCGCATTTAACGTATCAGGAAACCAGCTACGTTGCCCCGCCCCCTCCAGTTCACTTGCCACATCACTTCCATTTGTTTTATTAATAAAAGATATTGGACATAAATGCATTATGGATCAATACAAATACTTAGCTTTAAAAGTACCAAGTCCTCAGACAGTAAGCAAATAGAAATCATGTATCGAAAAAAAAGATGCATCGCAGCCTCTGAATCGTAATCGAGTCGAATCGTGAGGTGCCTAGAGATTCCCACCCCTATTGTGCTGTAACCAAAACTGCCCATTGTTTATTCAAAATATGCAAAATCTTCAACAGTGAAATACAGACACTTGTAGTAGACCTTGAAATATTACATGGACACTTTAAATATTCAAAATTTAAACGTCCCCACAAGCTCTGCCTCTTCAACCTACCTAACTAGACACCTGGCATCCTTTCTTTGCTGCAAGGTCATTAATTCTTGGGCTCGGTTTCTGAGCTGCTGAGCTAATATTACGGCCCAATCCCATTTCACCCCTCGCCCCTACCACTTAGCCCATAGCCCTCTGTTGAAGGTGGAAGGGGAAAATTCGAACAAGAATCTGGTGAATATCTGACTTCAGCTTCATATCACTGAAGAATTAGGGGTGGGTGATATAAATAATTGCCCCCCTCTTTGAAGGCGTATGATGCCCTAAATGTAACTAAAGCCCAGCAGTGAGGAGCTGAACTTTACCCTCCTCTGCTATTAGTAAGCAATGTGAGGGTCCCAATTCACAGGGCAAGATTTCAACCACTACCCCTTGTAACTCAAACAATGGGATTGGGCCTTAGTTATATTGGTTGAACTGCAGCTGAAATGCAGTTTGCTGATATGACTGGTGTGGAATTGCGCAGAATTGAGGTGTGTCCATCATCCCATAGACTGTTGTTGGAGTAGGAGAGTTGGAGCACTTTACGTTGCAGTACATGCTGGGGACTGTAGTGCAGTGCATTGTAACACACACACACACACACACACAATCTGAACCGCTTATCCTTCTGGGTCACAGTGGGGTACTGGAGCCCATCCCAGCTGCTACTGTGCGGAAGGCAGGACACACCCTGGACAGGGCAGACAGACAGACATACACATTCGCACTCTCACACCCAGGGGCAATTTTAGCATGTCCATTTGGCCTGACTGCATGTCTTTGGACTGTGGGAGGAAACCGGAGTACCTGGAGGAAACCCACGCAGACACGGGGAGAACAGGCAAACTCCACACAGAAATGACCCTGGTCGCCCAGCTGGGAATCAAACCTAGGCCATTCTTGCTGTGAGGCAACAGCGCTACCCACTGCGCCACCGTGCCACCCCAAGCGGGATAACATTTATAGAAAATTCAAATACTTTAGCGGGCCAAATAGGCTTGTGTGGCGGGCCTGATCTGGCTTCTACACTCCAAATAGTGCACTAAATGTTAGATTGCATGTTGTGCAGCTATGAATGAATTTAGATGGCTTTATTTAGACACATGCACTGTTTGTGTCTAAAAGACATTATATAATGAGCTATGAGCTTTGTGGTGCGCACTACATAGGGAGTAGGAAGCCTTGTGAGATTCTGTTACGACTACAGTTTTAATATTCCAAAAGATGCTCACACATACGCAGTACAGATCTGGTAGTGCTGGCTGATGCCAGTACAAGTAACGCTCTGTATGCATGCGTGACAGTGGTGTGTATGTGTGGTGCAAATCGGGCAGGACGCAGATTGGGTAGTGATAAGCACGCCCCCATTCCACACGAGACACATCTTGACCCCATTCACACCTGATCACTTCATATGTCTACTGTCTGGATTGTATCCTGATAAGATTTTAGCTGCATGCATTTACACTTGGTAGTCCAATGCGTCTCCGGTTAGTCGGACTGAAATCTGGTTGGTGTGTGGGACGAAATATGCAAATGCACTCATTATGTGGGAAACCGATTACCAACTGTTTGTCTCTTCAGCCTCTTCGTCTGCAGTTTGTTTTGCGTAGTAGCGTCTGTCTGTTTTGCTGTTAAGCAGTTCGTTTCGTCTGGTCCCCAACCATGAGGGTCCTCCATGATTGTCTTCCTCGCAGACGCAATGATGTACTGCATGAGGAGGAGTTTCGGTTGTACTGGGAGGAGTTTTGGTTGTACTGGGAGGGGTTTCAATTTTACTGGGAGAATTGTCAGTTGTACAGGGAGGGGTTTTGGTTGTACTGGGAGGGGGTTCAGTTGTGCTGGAAGGAGTTTCAGTTGTACAGGGAGGAGTTTTGGTTGTACTGGGAGGAGTTTGAGTTGTACTGGGAGGGGTTTCGGTTGTACTGGGAGGAGTTTTGGTTGTACAGGCATGGGTTTTGGTTGTTCTGGGAGGGAGTTCAGTTGTGCTGGGTGGAGTTTTGGTTGTACTGGGAGAAGTTTGAGTTGTACTGGGAGGGGTTTCGTTTGTGCTGGGAGGAGTTTCAGTTGTACAGGGAGGAGTTTTGGTTGTACAGGGAGGGGTTTTGGTTGTACTGGGAGGGGGTTTTGTTGTACTGGGAGGAGTTTGAGTTGTATTGGGAGGAGTTTTGGTCATGCTGGGAGGAGTTTTGGTCATGCTTGGAGAAGTTTTGATTGTACTGGAAGGGGATTTGTTGTACTGGAAAGAATTTCAGTTGTACTGGGAAGGGTTTTGTTGTACTGGGAGGACTGTCAGTTGTACAGGGAAGTGTTTCGGTTATACTGGGAGGAGTTTTTGGTCCACCTCCTGAAGTGATTTGAATGATCACATTTGTATCTGTTGTAAATGGGTCTCAGGTGTGTTTACACTTGCATTTTTATGTGAT